TGTTTAAGTGAAAATACACTAATAATAAAAAATACACTTTTGCACTAATAAAGTTGTGGAGTTGTAAAGTATTTTGTCTAGTGTCAATTATATCGTCAGTTATATCGTTATTGCAAATTTTCAAATGTATATCGAGATAAATATTTTTGGTCATATCGCCCTGCTCTACCTACAAGAACAAAAACCTCACATTCTACCATACAACACCAACTATCAGCTCCAACGTAATCTTGTGATCCCCTCCCAGATGTTTCAAGCCCCACTTACACCTTGCCTCAAGAAACCACAAAAGCTCTCATGATGATGAGGTGAGACAATGTGGTGCAAGGTTTCACACCTTGACCCAGATGATGGCAATGACCCACGCCTTTTTTCCCATCTTGGCTCACATCATGATGACTCACATGATTAACAGTGGGTCAGTCACCATTAGGATCACCTCCAAGAGGACAGCTATTGCTGGGGGTTAAATACCTGGGAGTTTTTTGAGAACTGAAGCGTCTTGAAGAGCTAAAACATCGCAATGAACTGAAAACATGTCAAGCTGCCTTCTGTTCATGCACTCAATACTATTGCAACACGTGAAATTTTATATGGTGATGCCACAACATAAAACCACAAAAATGTCAAACTTAAGGTTCACTTGGACACATTATCTGGGAATCCACAGTAGATTAAGTAGTTTGTTCAATCTGGATAAAAGTTGTGGACAGACCTACTGAATGACTCACACTGCTAAAGCCATGCTGTTAGCAGGACTAAAAATATCCACATTCTAGCAACACCTGAAAGTGATGATGGGATGGAATAAAGAAAATATCTCTTAGAAAACATGGCTTCACATCAAAAATTCAGTTCTGTTTGGATTATTTCACTGATTCAGTTTTCCGATTAATTATTCTGTTTATTTATTCAGATTGTTTTATTCACTTACTTCAAAAACATGCTGGTGTGTAACATCATGCTGCAATAATTAATTACATTTTCCACAGTTAATTACTTAGAGGAAAACCACTTAGTTCATTATTATGTGACAACACAGCCAAGTAAGTAAGTGTTTCCACTAAATGGCTCACACGCCATTACACAATAACATCATCTAATCCTCTTAATTACAATCTGGTCATATAACTTGTGTTTAGAGCACGCCATTAACGCCCTTTAGACAACAGCTTTCTTCTCCTCATCGTCATACCTTTAGTTTTAGTTTTCTTCTCTCGGGTGGAGCTTGCAGATGGAGAACTATCCTTGGTTGTTTTTTTCTTAGTTTTCTTTTTCGGAGTATCTTCACCGTCCTCTTCATCGTCATCATCTGAGTCTGAATCTATAGTAATAGAAATCAGTGCACTCAATCTACATTGAAATTACATGGCGTATTTTTGTGGGAGTTACTTAAAGTGTCATTGTATAGGAAACACACCCCAGCTTTAACACATCCCAGTGAAAACTCAATATTATAGTCATTGTTGACTTACCTTTTTTCTTTTTTGGAGCACTTTTTGCTTTCTTTTTAGTCTGTTTTTCTTTTTCTGGTTCCTCTTTGTCTTTTTCTAGCTTCTTTTTCTTCACTTTCTTCCCATCTATAATGTTGATAAGGAAAAAGATATGTAACTGCTTTCGTTAGACTACAATAGAGATGATATAGTAAAAGTTGTTTTTATCTCCTCACTCTGAATGGCAGAACTGTCCTCTTTGGCTACATCTTCATTCTTCTTTGTCTTAGCTTTTTTGGGCTTGGTCTCAATTCCATTCAGCTTGGCTTCTGTTGTACCATTGGCCTCTTCTTTCTTCTTTTTTGGTTTCTATAGATTTTCTTTAAGCACACAAAAAAGATTATTGGCAATACTCATAGAGCCCTTACTACAACTGAGCTAAATTAAAATGGTAAGACATAAAATGCAGTGAAAGATTTAGTCAAACTAGCGAGACTGTTATATGTAACAACTCACCATCACAAATTCAGATGTGAGGAAAACAGTGGGAAGAAAGACAATAAAAAGATGAACAGAAGTGGCATCATTATTTTTTTCTATTCTAAATGATTCAAATGAAATGAAAGTTTTATGAAAGTTTATTTTGCACTGGTAGCTCCTGTCAAATCTGCCTGATAAGTTTAGCGTTTGATTTGTAAATCAGCATAAAAACTGTTTAAAGGAAGTTAATGGAGAAACAGGGCATGAGGTAATAATGATGTGATGCATGTAAGTCTGTCTCGTCTAGAACTGAACAATCTGTTTCTATTCTTGATGAGACCGTTTCATAAGAAACACAAGAAAAGGAGAAACAAACAGGTTTTGCAACAATTTTAAGTAACCTGCCAAGG